AAGGTCAATTTTGAATATCTTTGTTTTTAGGTTTGTTTGAAAGCCTCCAAGAAAAATAAGTGGTACTTGGATAGTGGTTGCTCAAGACACATGACGGGTAATCCATCCAAGTTTGTCAATCTTTCCAAGAAGGATGGTGGCTTAGTAACCTTTGGTGATAACAAGAAGGGTAAAATAATTGGTAAGGGTACTATAGGTAATGACTCTTGTACTCTCATTAAAAATGTATTGTTAGTTGATGGTTTAAAGCATGACTTACTTAGCATTAGTCAATTATGTGATAAAGGTTTTAGAGTTGTATTTGATAAGAATAATTGCATAATTGAAAATGCTAGTGATAGAAAAGTTTTGTTTGTAGGAAATAGAGACGATAATGTGTATACTATTGATTTGAATGATTGTCCTACAAATGATAAATGTCTTTCGGTTTTGCTTGATAACTCTTGGCTATGGCATAGAAGACTAGGACATGCTAGTATGTACTTGATTTCAAATATTTCAAAAAATTCATTAGTGAGAGGTCTCCCTCAACTTAAATTTGAAAAAGATAAAATTTGTGACGCTTGTCAAATGGGTAAGCAAACTAAGTCTTCTTTCAAATCTAAAAATATGATTTCTACTACTAGACCTCTTCAACTACTCCATATAGACTTATTTGGCCCTTCTAAAATAGCTAGTTATGGAGGAAATTATTATGCTTTTGTGATAGTGGATGATTTTTCAAGATTTACTTGGGTTTTGATGATAAAACATAAGAATGATGTTTTGAAAAGATTTGCTAGTTTTGTAAAAAGAGTTCAAAATGAAAAAGGGTTTTTAATTACTAAAATTAGGAGTGACCATGGGGGAGAATTTAACAGTGTTGCCTTTGAAAAATTTTGTGAAGATAATGGTTTTTCTCATGACTTCTCCTCTCCAAGGACTCCTCAACAAAACGGTGTGGTTGAAAGGAAAAATCGTACTTTACAAGAATTTGCTAGATCAATGTTAAATGAGTATGATTTACCTAAATATTTTTGGGCGGAAGCCGTTAATACCGCTTGTTATATTTTAAATAGAGTTTTAATTAGACCTTCATTAAATAAAACTCCTTATGAACTCTGGCATAACAAAATTCCAAATGTTGGGTATTTCAAAGTTTTTGGTTGTAAATGTTTTATTTTGAACAACAAAGAAAAGCTTGGAAAGTTTGATTCAAAAACGGATATTGGTATTTTTCTTGGCTATTCATCTACTAGTAAAGCTTATAGAATTTTCAATAAGAGAACTTTAGTTATTGAAGAATCTATGCATGTGGTATTTGATGAATCTTGCAATAATATTTCTAATGAGTCTATTTGTAGTGATGATTTAGAAAGAAATTTTGGAGATTTACTCGTTAGTGACAACGGCAAAGAAATTGTTACGAGTAAAGAAGAGATGAGCTTAAAGGAAGAAGGTTCTTCATCAATGCCAAAAGAATGGAGGTATGCCTTGTCTCATCCCAAGGACTTGATTCTTGGTGATCTCGAACAAGGTGTGAAAACTCGCTCTTCTATTAATTTATTTAATAATCTTGCTTTTGTTTCTCAAATTGAACCAAAAAGTCTTAAGGATGCCGAAAATGATGAGTTTTGGATTTTAGCCATGCAAGAAGAGCTAAATCAATTTGAAAGGAACAAAGTTTGGGAATTAGTCCATAGGCCATCTAATACTTCTATTATTGGAACCAAATGGGTTTTTAGAAATAAAATGGATGAAAATGGGAATATCATTAGAAATAAAGCTAGGCTTGTAGCTCAAGGTTATTGTCAAGAGGAAGGCATAGATTATGAAGAAACTTTTGCACCCGTTGCTAGATTAGAAGCTATTAGAATGTTACTTGCTTTTGCTTCTTACAAAAATTTTGTATTATATCAAATGGATGTGAAAAGTGCATTTTTGAATGGTTATATTATGGAGGAAGTTTATGTAGAACAACCTCCCGGATTTGAAAATGTAGAATTTCCTCATCATGTCTATAAGTTGAAAAAGGCTCTTTATGGCTTAAAACAAGCTCCAAGAGCTTGGTATGATAGACTTAGTAATTTTCTTATTGGGAATGATTTTAAAATGGGCAAACTCGACACTACACTCTTTATTAAGATTAAAGAAAACGATATGCTATTAGTGCAAATATATGTGGATGATATCATATTTGGTTCTACTAATCCTTCTTTATGTGAAGAATTTTCTAAATGTATGCATAGTGAGTTTGAGATGAGTATGATGGGAGAACTCAGTTTCTTTCTTGGACTTCAAATCAAACAACTCAAGAATGGTATCTTCATCAATCAAGAGAAATACACTAAAGATTTGCTCAAAAGATTCAAGTTCAATGGAGGTAAGATTGCAAGAACTCCCATGAGCACATCCACTAAGCTTGACAAGGATGAAAAAGGTAAAAGTGTGGATATTAAAGCTTATCGAGGTATGATTGGATCTTTACTTTACTTGACCGCTAGTAGACCCGATATTATGTTTAGTGTATGTCTTTGTGCTAGATTTCAATCTTGTCCTAAGGAATCTCATTTACATGCCGTTAAGAGAATATTTAAATATTTGCTTGGAACTATTGATCTAGGATTGTGGTATCCTAGAAATGTTGAATTTAAATTGGTAGGATATTCTGATGCAGATTTTGCCGGAAGCTTACTTGATCGTAAAAGTACTAGTGGAACTTGTCAATTTCTTGGTAGTTCCTTAGTTTCTTGGTTTAGTAAAAAGCAAAATTCGGTTGCCTTATCTACTACCGAAGCGGAATATATTGCGGTTGCTAGTTGCTGTGCTCAAATTCTTTGGATGAAACAAACTCTTTGTGATTTTGGATTAAAGTTTCATAGTGTGCCTATATTTTGTGATAATACAAGTGCTATTAATTTAACTAAAAATCCTATTCATCATTCTAGAACTAAACATATTGACATTAGACATCATTTTATTAGAGAGCATGTGCAAAATGGACATATTATTCTTGATTTTGTAAACTCTAATAATCAACTGGCCGATATTTTCACCAAGCCATTGAATGAAGAAATTTTTTGCAAAAATAGGCTTGAGCTTGGTATTATTCGTTGTGATATATCTTGAATTTTATAATTTTTGAATGCATGTTTTTAGGGGGAGCCATTATGTCATTATTAAATGCATTCTCTTTCAATTGTTCATTTTGATGATTACAAAGGGGGAGAAAATTAAGAAAAATATGTTCTAAATTTGTTATTTTATAATTTATGAATCATTTACTTGGTGTTTCATAATTTCTTGAGGCATTAATATAAGGGAGAATATGCTCTTGAGTGAAATTTATGATAATATATTAGTATGTAGTGATATTATTACATGGATGTTGTATTATTGGTTTTTATGAATTTTTCTTTAAATGATTTGTCATCATCAAAAAGGGGGAGATTGTTGGCTTATTGGCCCTTGATCTCACATTAATTAATTTCAATGAATTAATTATTGATGTTTTGATGATAACAAACCTACTTTTAATTATTAACTATTTTCAGTTTTTTGAACTGTCCACAGTATAAGGTCGGGAATAACGATTACAACAACTTTTCAATTACTCAAATCAGAGCTAAAACGAAGAAATTAGAGTCGAGACAACATACCCGACGTGATGATGTGGCAACAAAATCAAAATGATGGACAAATCAAAATATATCAAAGTATGACATTTATAATATTGGAAGAGTAACACATGGTGGAGTTTTTCTTATTATTACATTTCTAAATAAAATTATTTTTACAAATATAAATTTGAATATAACCGTTACTCACATCGAATTTTATTATTACTATATTATATTATTATATTATTATATTTTAAAATTTTGGTAGTTACTCACATCATTTTTATTATTATTATATTATTATATTTATAATAAATTTTGAATTACATTTTACCGTTACTCACATAACTTTTTATTATTATTATATTATATTACTATTATATTAAAATTTTGAAATAAATGAATTTAGAAAATTTTCTTACTTAATTACTTTTAATCTCCACCTTCCATTATTCCTAACACAATCCAATGGTCAATATTCAATCCTACATTTTGCCACTTTTCTCCTCTATATAAACTCATCTTCCCCACATTTTTAAAATATACAACTTACATACATTCTTCAATCCTCATTTGTTCAAAGTCTCCATTGTTTATTGCTCTCTCCAAGCTTACAAGTTTATTTCTTTTCATCTTATTCTTGAGAGGGATTATTATTATATTGTGAGGAAATAGTTGTCAGTATCCCAAATTGTAAATCTACTCTTTGAGAGAGTTGTGGTGTGTTATTATCAAACTCAAATACTTGTATCGGTTTGATCCTGCGTCGTTGAAAGGATTGAGTTTGCTCTTGAACTCGTAAAAAGAGCGGTGTACCGGTTTGGCTCTGATCCGTGGAAAGAGTCGGAAAAGTTCTTTATTCAAATTCCCAAGAGGCGCTTGGGGAGTGGAGTAGGTCGAGTTTGACCGAACCACTATAAAACTACGGTGTCATTTTCTCTAACTCTTTCCTATTTAATTTCAAGATTATTATTATGTTTATTGCATGTTCTACTTGATTATTGTTTTGACTTGAATTATTTTGCTTTAGTAATTATCATCTTCTACTTATTTGTAAAAAGTTTTATCATTAGAAAAATTAATCAAGTTTAAACACTTTTATCGTTAAAACCCTATTCACCCCCCCTCTAGGGTTGCCATACCGATCCAACATATATTATATGGAAACATATATTTAATAGTCACATCTTGTTTATTTTTATTTTTATTAATCATATTACATATATTAAATATGGATCATTTGATTTTTAAATACTTAAAAATAGTATAATTCAAACAGGCCTGGTAAAGGTTGGGCTCTGAAAAGAAAACCGGGCTAAAATCTTGGCCCATTTGTTTTAAAGGGCTCGGTGGCATTATGGTGATTAAGTTATAATAAAGGGGTAATCAAATGAACCTCAAAGTATACATATCGTTTCCCTCGAACACAACTCATTTCTAGGGTTTCGGCGAGCAAGAAGAAACAGAGGAGTAGACACAGCAGCCGCCACCATGGTGTTGAAGTGAGTCTTGTTCATTGCTCTTTCTGATTCAATCTTGAATTGATTTCAGTATTCATTTGGAGTTTTTCTTTTAATCGATGATTGCATCCGTCATGGCGAAATAAAGCAGGATCAGTATGGCTATTTGTGCCTTATAATTTAACTTTCAGTTCACTGCTTCAAGATCTCTAGGTTTTTGTGTAGGTGAATTTGATTTGTAGGTAATTAGTTTTAAGAAGTAATGGCTTATCCCATGAGAATATGAAAACTTGTAGTGTTAGAAATGCGCAGTTTGTTTCTACCTCATTCTGAAGTATAATCCTGGTTTTTTTAGGACCGAGCTCTGTCGATTCAGTGGCGCGAAGATATATCCGGGTAGAGGAATCAGATTTATCCGTGCAGATTCACAGGTAATGAACCTGCGCGGCCGTCCATTGTGTTGTAGTTAAAACTGGATAATCATATTTCTATCTTATCTGATGACATAAACTTACCTGCTGTTTTTATTGCATACTTGTCTTGATTGACTAGGTTTTCCTGTTTTTAAACTCCAAATGCAAGAGGTACTTCCACAACAAGCTGAAGCCTTCTAAGCTCACCTGGACAGCAATGTACAGGAAGCAACATAAGAAGGTAATGGGTCAAATATAGCTCTTGGATTCATTTACTTGTATCTATATTTATATTTTATCATATCCTGTCCTCTCTGTTAGCTCTGATTATGTATGGATAGCTTTGAAACATAATGATTTTGTGTGTGGTACTTTTAGATTATAATTTTTCAACAACTCAACGGTTCTCAATATTTGTTTTCTAGAAGTATTTTCCCTGTTATTTACATTATCATTCCCCCTTGACCTTTAACCGTGATTTTAACCAAATAATTGTTGATTGTTGAATGTTTTTCATTCTGTTTATTCCCGTAGGACATTGCTCAAGAGGCTGTAAAGAAGAGGAGACGTGCCACCAAGAAGCCATACTCAAGGTCCATAGTGGGTGCTACATTGGAGGTTATCCAAAAGAAGAGAGCTGAAAAGCCCGAGGTTCGTGATGCTGCTAGGGAGGCAGCCCTCCGGTATGTGATTGTTCTGAGTTTGAATGTTTCTTAAATGATACAAGCAGAGGCATGGAATAATTTCTTTATCAATCATAGTTCTTGTTTAAACTAACTTTTGTTAATTGTTGTTGGATTGTAGGGAAATTAAGGAGAGAATTAAGAAAACAAAGGATGAGAAAAAGGCAAAGAAGGCCGAAGTGATGGCCAAAACACAGAAGACACAGACCAAGGCTAACGTTGGTAGGGGGGGAGCTGCACCCAAAGGACCAAAACTTGGCGGCGGCGGCGGCAAACGTTGAATTTTCCATGCTGCAAGCTAAGAACAGTAGTTTACGAGTTTTTATGCTCTTTGAAATAGCAAAACCAAAGATAATGTTCCAACTATTTCCGAATTTTTGTATGGATCAATTATTGTGCTTTTCATTTCATCTTGCAGTTACGTTGCAAATATCAGAATGTTGCGTTTTTTTCTGATAGTTTACTTGATTATGCATGACTTCCCGAACGTGCCTACCTCTTTTGGTTTTTATGAATTTCCATCCAAATTTTATACGCTTTGATAAGCTTGAATTATCTGATTATTGGAAGTATTAGTTGATTATGTGGTGGGGGGGAGCGTTCTTCTTAAATTTTGCTACCTAATACTGGGAGTTGAAATAGTTCTGAACTGTTTGATTCAAGTAATAACAACCACATTATATTATTTTATATTGCTATATTTTATTATAAATTATTTGTTTAATAATTTATATGATTTAACTTGCATGTTCTTTTGTTTAATCAGAATTATTTAATAAAATTTCCGGATTATAAGAAAATTTGAATCTATCAAAATTTCAAAAATTATTTTAAAAAGTTGATAAGAAGTAAAATTGAACATTAAATTTCTAATCCAAAAGTTATGGATAAGAAGGCAAGTGAGCAGCTTGAGAAGAAGACCAGAGTGAAGGAATTGAAGAAGCTGATATTTGGTCGACATTTTCGACATTAAAGATGTGATTATTACAGCTCCGAACGCCCTCTGCTGTGCTCTCTGCCGCCTCTTCCTCGGAGACGGTCATGTAAGCCATCGACCCGTGATTCCTTACTGCTTGTTCTCTTAGCATGCTTCTTAGTTCCCTCACCTACTCCAACAACATTGTACGTCCAAAGATCAAAATTACAAAGATTTGTGCATGGAAATGCATGTGCGGAAAAAGAGAAAAAAGAGATAGAAACCTGTTGTTGAAGGTCAATTTTTTCCATAGAAATGGCGTCAAATTCTTGTTTGAGAGTGTCATAGAGATGCTGAAGCTGCTTAACCTTTGAGCGAGCTCTTCTATTCTGAAACCACACCGCTATTTGCCTTGGTTGGAGTCCAATCTCCTTTGATAGCTTCATTTTTCTGTCAGGTTCAAGCTTCACTTCCTCTTGAAAGCTTCTCTCCAATGACTCCAACTGATCTTGACTGAACCTCTTCTTCTTCTCATCCACTCCTCCACCCCTACTTTCATGAGCTTCCATGCCCGCTCTATCCGTATCTATTGTCTCTACCACTCATTAAACCCGATGTTAAGAATACGATTCAAATATTATATCTCTCAATTCGAGTTGAAGTTATCATGATTCTATGTTATATCGCAACAAGATGATCATCCTGTGTTCAAATGGATCTTAATACTATTCGTTAACGGTTAATCTCTACCTCTTGTAAGGAATGTTTCGTTCTCCTCTCCCAAATGATGTGGGATCTCACATAATTTTACACTAAAGAGAGAACGGTTAATAATATGAATAAATCAAGAAAGATCGAATGAGTAATAACAAGAAAGTGGGGAGAGATTTCTTACTATAAGATAAACGGTGTTGAAGATGTAGATTATATTCATGTTAAGTTCTTCGAATTATACTTATGTTAACTCAACCCAACCCGAAAAGTTAATCCAACCCAACCTCTATAATTCGGGTTTGGTCAGTTCGATTTGTTGGGTTTTCGGGTTTAATGTAGACAAACAAAATGAAGAAGGTTGAGGGAGTTGGGATTTACCAGGAAACTGATCCAAACTGCAAGGATGAGGCAATGCAGGAGAGGATTGTGGAGGTGGAGGAACATAGTGAGAACTGAGATCAAAACCATTATAGGAGTCCATGTGTTTGGATCAAAGGATCAAGAGAAGATGGGAATTATAAGGGTTCGATTCCAAGAACAGAGGAAGTTCGGGTTTCTAAGCGTATGCGGATCGAAGTTGGGACGAACTTTAGACTTGTTGGGTTCTTTATAGAAAAGGAGAAAGAGAAAGAGAGAGTTTTAAATGAAGTAAGATAGGCGTGGGAAAGTGAGGCATGGATGTCAGTTAAACAGAGGCATAAGAAGAAGAGGAGGATGAGTAGCAGCAGGATGAGTTATGGGGACCATAGATATCAACCGCATCCCCCATGGATACACACATTTCAGACAAACCCCTTTTGTCTTTCTTGGTATTAATTGGTTTACAAAGCATGCAGCAGTAGTGGAGATGAAGAATGAGGGGCTTGGAGTTTGGTCAGATTGGGTTTGCGATTTGATAAACGTTACGATCGGAGCGGAGATGAAGATGGAAATATAAACCTAGTTTTAAGTGACAGAGAATAATTCTCCTCATTTCATATCCAATTTTTCTTATAACAAAAATTCTTCGTCAAACTCAAATGTGAATGTGAATTCCAAGTCTCATTGGTTAAATGAACTTGTTCGTGCTGCTAGAACTTACCATCATTCATTTATTGATCTCTCATCGAATCATGCAATTTAATAAAAAATCTCGTTATGAGTTTTAGTAATAGACGATAAATAAATAATTAATGTAGAGTGGGTTGGGGCCATACTAAAACTGGGGGCTGCTGGCTGCTAGCTGGAAGATGGCTCCGGGATGGGTCAGAAGGAGGAAGAGAGGTACACAGATTATAGACGGAAGCCCTAAAATATGGTGAAAATATGGTGAATATTAAGTAGAAGTTTTCCGTAGACAATGTTGAAGATATACGAGCTTCTAACTTTGTCGAAAATATATATTTAAATTAGTTGAGTTCGATAAGCTTCTGACTTTATAAAACATCTTTATTAGTAAGAGACTTTCGGGACCAATAAAAGTATAACTCGGTATAAATACTTCTACTTTCATAAAAAGTATTGACCGAAAAAGGTTATGATTTGAATGGAAGGACAGAGAAAAACAAAACAAGAATGGAAGAACAATAATCAAACAAGATCAAAAGTGGGAGGGATGTAATTTTGTACAAAATTAAACCTAGAATAGAAACAAGAGCTATGAAGATCAAATGGGGCAAAAGGCATGAGCTGAAATTGGTGTTTGGGAGTGGCATTTATAATGTCATAAATGGATGAGAGGCTGACCTAAATGATTTGCATCCAAAAACAATATACAGTAATACTACTCCACGCTGCACCAACTGCCCAAAATGTTTTAAATACTTTGAAAATATATAAAATTTTATGAACTATAGAGACTAAATTGATACAAATCTATAAAAACGACAAGAAAAAGTAGTGTGGACCAAAACGTGGTAAACTCTCCTTCAAACAGAGAGTCGCATTAGGAGTAAGTATAGAGTGTGAGTGGTCCATTAAAAAAGAACAGAGAACCTGTGAAAAAAAAAAGTCTAACAAGTTAGTCCCTCAACTTTAGTTTATAACAGTTCAATCCTCTCGTAATCTTCTCTGATGAGATTTTTTAAGCAAGAATGATAAAATACTAAGAAATCTTTCAATAAATTGCTGTAAATTAAGAGTTATTGAGATTACTTGACGCAGCCAGAAGCAGTGGGGTTCCCTGCAAGCAGGCGGCGCGGTAGGGCCAAATCCATAACTCCACACACCAACATCAATATCAGCTTGATATCTGGTCCACCAGTACAGCACCCTACTCGGCTACTCCTGCTTCACAACCTTTATCTCTCTCTAAACATCGCGTCCAGCCAAAAGATCCGAGGCAAACAGGTTTTATAAAGATAATGATCAGTATGGAAACGCTAAGGTTTCACTTAAGAAATCAGTGATGATCATCACTATTAAGAACTCAATTCCAAAGCTTCAATTTCAAAAAATCCATGGAGGTTTCACATAAATATATATCAGTACTTCAGAGAAGACAAAAAGGGTGTATCAAGAGTCACATATATGTGTATATGTAATGGCTGATGACAGCAACTCGAAGATCAGAAACTCTTCAAAAATTTGGGGGAGAGAGGGGGGGGGAGGTGGAGGAGGGAGAGTGGTCCTCCCAAGGCTCAAGCGGCCGAGGTGCCATTTCAATCTTCAAGCTCGATAATCTTTACAACTGATGCATCACCAACTTTCTGGCAAACCACTACGCGGTCATGTGCCTTAATGATTCCTGCTAACTTTCCATGATCTAGAGCAGCCTTCAGAACTGACTCATTTGTTGCATTGTTAGAGTCCGCCTACAAAGCAAGAAAAGTAATCAGTTTATTAATACAATAGTACGATCATCTGATCAAAATGCTGATCTAGCACGACTTGTTATCCAAGAAGTTCAGCACTGTTTTTATATTTAACAGGAGTTCATCATAACTCGCAAATCAATGGTAATTCTGCCATATCCTCAGCAAGAAAAATAATTAGAATTTCAGCTAAAAACGTCTCACAGAACTGAGACAAACACAATCACATAATAACATGTACAAAAAGCAGCCTTTATGGAGGGCAGACATGCGATATGCCACTTCTAAGGCCATTGAGGGATCGGAAAGCGAAGAAGAAAAGGGGTTTCTTGCGGAAGCCCGATTATGAGAAAGACTATGACAAAGTGGGTTGATCTTTTCTAGATGTAAGGTTTCGGCTTGAAAAACCATAGAAATAGTTATAGTTACCAACTAATAGGTTGAATCTCAACCATTATTAATTTATTTATGAACATGTTTTCCGTTATAAGTTTTATATTATTATTATTCTACATAAGTTTACAATATGAATTCTGTATTTATCAAAGTTTTATCTTTATTAATGTAATTCTGCCTTTCAAAATTTGTATACAGTGAACATAAATAATGTTATTTTCAGAGTCTCATCTAATTGAATCACATAATTTTAAAAAAAAACATGTAAAAAGGTGGATTTTAGAAAAAGAATTTGTTAAGGATGGTTGAGGAGTCCCACGTCGGCTAATTAAGGGGTTGATCATGAATTTATAAGTAAGAAATAGAACTCCATTTGTATGAGGCCTTTAGGAGAAACCAAAAACAAAATCTTAAGAGTTTATGCTCAAAGTGGACAATATCATACCATTGTAGAGGTTCGTGATTTCTAACATAATTTTTTGACAAAGAAGACAATGGCAGGTTGGGCTTCGTTAATAGAAAGACTTGGGACCAGGAAAAGACAATGTGCTGTGGAAACTTGACCCCCTTGAGTGAATTCACCTAAAAGTCTGCCTTTTTTAACCTCACGGAACCTAGGCCTTCTTTGAAGTCCCCTTATCAACTATATTCGGAAATTCATATTCCTAGAAAGGTGA